CATGACCGCGATCGGCAGATCGGGGTTTTACTGTCACTCGGAGCTTAAAAGGGATCTTTGAAATTAGAAAAAGACAGGATGTTGACAGGAAATCTGGCCTTTTTAATCAGACCCCGAACATGCTCTCCTTGAAATTTTTACCATCTGGGCCCCCAGTCGGCACGCGGCATTGGCGGCGGCAGCCACGTTCGGATGACTGGGGGACTCTGGGATGACTGGGGGACTCTGGTTTGGGTCGCGTCTGCTTGCTTTATTTTTGCTGGCTGTTTTGTTTTCCTTTTCAAAGGGTGCCCTTTGGTGGGGGGGTGTGATCCTCCAACGGGGAGAAGGCCTCTGGCCAGGAAGGGCGTCTCCACCCATCAGGCAGTTCCCGGGACGCATCTTCCACCTATACCAGCCGCCCCCCTCCTGCATGGAGGTTTCAGCTCTCAAAACAACGGATTTGCGTTGTGTCTTTTTCTCTGCTTAACGAATTCAGACCAAATAGCGGCCAAAAGACTGGGCCCGGGCCACACCGCAGGACAGACTCCGTTCTTGAAAGAGCCCCTGTGTGAACTGAGTGCCAGGAACCCCTCCTGCCGTTATTATTGTTGGTGATGTGCTTTTGACTTGGAAACCTGGCTGCTAGGAGCCGTGGTCTTGATTGTTCTTTTGCCCCAGCCAGAAGAGGACAGGAACGAATGGTGTCCCCCTTTGGGGTGACTGGCTCCCCCTCAGTTGTCACTGCTTAGGTTTAGTTCAGTTAATAGAGAAGGGTGATTTCTTGGGACCCGGGTTAACCGATTGATCTAGGATGGGAGCCGGGAAGGCAGCGACTTCACCGTCTTGCTTTCTGTATACTTCTTGCGGGAAAGCCCTTTATTGTCTCCTCGAATCCCTGCACCGGAGAAATCCGCAGTGCGCCTGGGACCTAAGGGAGCTGCCCGCCCCGCCCCTCGTCCCCCTGGCCTGTGCCTTTCTAAGCAGTGGCTCCCGCTCTGCGTCCTCAGGTGGTGGCGCTGGGGGATGTACCTGACGGGACCGTGGTGACGGTGATGGCTGGCAACGACGAGAACTACTCGGCTGAACTGCGCAACGCCTCCGCTGTCATGAAGAACCAGGTGGCCAGATTCAACGACCTGCGCTTTGTGGGCCGCAGCGGGAGAGGTGAGCAGCAGAGCGATCTCACCCGCCTGGTGGGCTGGCCCAGGGCCGGGCGGGGCCAAGGAGACTGAGAGAGACTTGGGAGTCTCCACGGAAGCCCCCAGAAACAGCTCCCAGGTCCGGCTGTTGGGGTGTTGCAGACCCCTGCGAGGATGGAGGGTCATGGTAGCTTGTCAGACTCCCCAAGTTTGGAGTCTTACCTGTCTCTGAAAGCCTCCCTGAGGCTCTCTTTTTACAAAGCGCCTTTGGTCTCACCAAAGATGCTCCGAGGGGGTTTGAAGAGAAAGGGTGGCACACTGTAGGACATTGAATGTCAGCGAGCTCAGCTTCAAGACCACCTCTTGCCCTGAGGGTGGCTCCCCAGCCTGGCCCACATACTGAGGCAGTGGCCGGAGGGCAGGGTCCCCAGCCACACCCAATGGCTGTGGAGAGGGAGGCTGCTGGTTCCCAGAGCCATCCTCACTCACATCCTGGGCGGAGGAGCCCGGGAAACCCTGCGAGCCCGGGAAACCCTGCGAGGTGAAGTGGAGACACTTGTGAGTTGCTGGCCCTTTAAGACCTTCACACCCAAAAGAGACACACACACACACACAACATACACACACACACACACACACACACACACACACACACACAGCCCCTTGGGTTAGAAAAGGA